TCCTAACCCCATCTTCAAAAAAAAAAAAAAAAAATTCCTCGGACATTTTTTGGCTCGTCTCATTTTGTCGGACGGACCCCCCCCCGGTTCGTCTGGCCCGGTCTGTCTGGACCGGGCATCGGCCTAACCCAGAAAAAATCGCCAAAGTTGGCACTTTGCGGGACTGGACCCACCTGCGCCTGCCGGTTGCCGCCCCTCTGTAAAATCCGGTCCGTATGGCCAGGAAAGCCGAATTTCAGACATCAGGGGTAGTGGTGGTTTAATCTTGGCCAATTTTTGCTGAACCCGTCACTTGTGGCCTACACATGTTCCCCAGTTTGACTCCATATCCATTCAATATTCTGTTCCCACTTTGCTTCCATCTTGTGATGTGTGTGGAGCTCAGCAAACTGATTTCATCCAACTTGGAGTTTCTCCTCACAACTCTGTTAGTACAGATGCCTGAATTCTGTTGCATTGAGGCAGTTCTCCTGGTTTTCTAGTATTGGAACACAAAATATGCGAGCCCTCTGGTAATCTTACAACCTTGCTGGGGTTGCTGCTGTGTCGCGGATGGACTCACGGTGTTGTTGCAGGTAGCAATGATGTTTCACAAACTTGTGATTGATGGAGGCGCTGCCAAAGTTGTTGACATTGTGAAAAAAGATGACAGGCGTCCACGTCCTCAGGGCCTGAACACGGTGGAGTTGCTGAAGGTGACTTTCAGATAACCTGCTTTCCACTATCTTGTCTCCTTGCCTGTTGTCATTGCAAATGCTGCCGTGTTTCCTTTGTGTTTGCCTGTTACATGCACAGATATGCAATGTACGTAATAACCGAGGAACTGCAGTGTGATGAAAAGGACTGACTGGACAATACCTGTCTCTTATACACATCTAGATGTGTATAAGAGACGCACTTAGTGCCAACCAGCAGTGATAGTTCGCTTGATACCTCTGATCGGTATTAGCAGGGTCCTTGGCCAACATGGGTGTGAGTGTGAGTGTGAGAGGGTTGTGTGTGGTGTGTGTGAGGGTGTTGGTCTTATTCGGTTCGGGGTGG